GCAGCATGGAAGAGCTCCCCAAGTTCTGCCCTACTTGAGGGTCTGAACATTTTACTCAGCTTTACCAGAGGCCACAACTTCCCTCTTAGATTCACAGCCAATACCTGCTCCAGAGCAGAAGGCATCAAGGTCCTTTCAGTACACTTCCTAGTGACTACAGTACCCTAAGCCTCTAAAAGTGTCTACAGATTTGGGCATTTTTGATGAGACTCAACTGTGAGATATATAGGCATAGAATTGATGGACTGCAGTAAAGCAGCGTGTTTCCTTGCATGTCCAGAGTCAACTCTTCAAGGTTAGTGAATCATCCTGGGAAGAACCAAGTTTAGTTTAGTGTTTGCAACAAAGCTTGCTCTTGAGTTAAGCAAGATCTCTTGTTGCCATAACTTTGGATAGAGGAGCCAACTCTGATTAACCCAATCTCTTCGGAAGAAACTGGCATGTCTACAGACAAAATACAGAGTACAGTACCTTATATCCTAGAAACTGTGGAATCCTATTAACGTACCTTTCCGTCCTCGCTATTTAGATCTGCTTCTCACCAGGCTTGATCAATCAGAGCTATGCTGACAGATTAGTGTAAGATACAGAGTTTCCAGTTCTGAACTAGGCTGTATCTGCTGTGTAGGGTTGCATTTTACTATGCAAATTCATCTAATGTTACTTTTTCGATCCTGGTTTCTGTGACAAGAAAAAGTCACACATGGGGTCCTTAACGATCCAAAACTGAGCCACAAGGAGCTTTGCAACTGGATACGTGGGCCAACTGTCAAATTTGCAAGTAGAGCACAGAAAGCAAAAATGAAGCCAGAAAGAGCAGACCTTTAGCATGCTCCTTTAGCATGCACTTTCAAGTGCACAATCTTAAGATATACACGAAGAATTCATGAAAGTACTATGCCAAGGAAGTAAAGTTGAGAATAACTGTCCTGATAGCTCCACAATGAAGTGTACTTGACATTAAGTTTCTAAGCATGTAAGTACTTCTTTTTATGTGTATCTGTACTTGTTTTAAGATGTTAGACAAGATATGGCAGTAAATACCACTGTAAGTTGTTTTAGCCTGACTAAAATTTCAAATATGGACAGCTGCTCCATACACTAGTTTTACATATTCAGTTACTAAAGGATATAGGTAACAAAAATTAACAAGAAAATTTCCTTTTAAATATTTTGAATGAATCATTTCCAAGTGGTTAAAAAATGAAACTTCCCAGTATTAAAATATGCTGATTACAATCAGCCCAGTTTGATTATTCCTTAATAAGAAAGAGCATCTGAATAATAACCCTAGATGTCATCAGGTAATGGTGACATCATTGCAGGATGTATATTCACTTCTATTGGAGACTTATAGGTAGTAGTATTTCACTTTGAATAATGACAGTATTTAAAATATATGTAGTTGATCTAAAGTTTGTTTTAAAAAGCTCTTTAACCATAAAGGCCAATTAATAACAGCTATAACTTCTCATTTTAGTTTGTGTTCTGCCAGAAAGCATGTTTAAAATAAATGCATGATCACATTCAGAGATTATTAGAAAAATTTCTGAATAAACTTTTAAATTGGGAGGATTTTTTTTAGCTAACCTGTATTCAAAAAAATAAAATTGCTTTATTTATTCAGCAGTGATAAGGAAAATTCTAGTTTTAAGAAAAGGACCCTTTCTGTCACTTTCTTCCACAGCAATGCTTGAGCAAGTGTAATTTCAGAAAGAATAGTCCTTTGTTACTTTTAAAATCTTGCTTTGTCACAGCCAAGATGCTGTTCTGTTACTTACAAACAGGAGGTGCAAACTGCGCTCGCTCTTTCTCTTGAAATTCCATTTGCTCATTCTGCTCCACTGGAGGAGTCAATATCCCTCCAGGGTGGAAGCAGTATTATTGTCTTCTACAGTTACAATCCCATCCCGTCTGTATCTTTAAAATTGTTATTCTGCAAAGGGGTACCCATCATATGTACATTCCTTGGTGTTTTATTGTTGTTGTTGCAATTTTGTAGTAGCTGTAGTCCTCTAATGATTTCTATCTTACAAATACTTGCTAGTAAGGGCTGTGCAGGCTTTTAAGGGCTTTGCAGGCTTTTCCAAGTGGGTGAAAAATGTTCCAATGCAATTGGCTACTGATGTACTGTGAATATATACATATATATATTCTAGATTTTAATTACATGCTTGAAGTATCTTTATTTTTCCAGGACTTTTTATTTTTCACTTAGAGGAGAAAAATCTCTTTCCCCCTCCCCCCCCC